ACCACAACTCTCTGGGCCCGGCCGTCCAGCCAGTTTTTGACCCAGCGCAGAGTACACCTGTCTAAGCCGTGAGCCGCCAGCTTCTCTAGGAGAATGCTGTGGGAGACGGTGTCAAAGGCCTTACTGAAGTCCAGGTAGACCACATCCACAGCCTTTCCCTTGTCCACTAGGCGGGTCACCTGGTCATAGAAGGAGATCAGGTTGGTCAAGCAGGACCTGCCTTCCATAAACCCGTGCTGGCTGGGCCTGATGCCCTGGTTGTCCCGCACCTGCCTTGTGAGCGCCCTCAAGATGATCCGCTCCATGATCTTCCCCGGCACTGAGGTCAGGCTAACAGGCCTGTAGTTCCCCGGATCCTCCTTCCGGCCCTTCTTGTAGATGGGCGTCACATTGGCCAGCCTCCAGTCGTCCGGCACCTCCCCCGTTAACCAGGACTGCTGATAGATGATGGAGAGCGGCTTGGCTAGCTCCTCAGGGAGAGGAGATTTCAGGGAGATTGTGTCTAGTCCTTCAGGGTTTTGTATGATCAGTGATTACACCTGTGTGGCAGTGAGCAGATAGAACTGAAGACAAGGGTGGAAGGTGATTCAGAAAACCAGCAGAGTGGTGTGACTTCATTATTGTCATTTCAAACTGAAATGTGGGCTATGCCAATGCTATACAGCTTTATTAGCAAGAGTTCTGCCAGTATCCATCTGCCATGTGGTAACATTTGTTCACATTTGGATGCCCTTCCAGGTCAAAAGATGCTTGGTATCCTTGCATTGTGAGCATAGCTATCTGTTGTGCTACCTTGTGGAGAAGTGTTTATGGTATACAGTAGTGCTACAAGGATATACAAGGAATACATCATGCCTTTCAGAAAATTGTGCTAATAAGAGTTATCTTATCCCAAAACCTATCAGGTTCTGAATCTCTGTTTTCCACTCTCCCCTTTCCTTGCTTCTCAAAGGTAATGAGTGTCTCTGTTACACTGTGGATAGGCCAAATGTTAGTTATCTCTGTGTCATGAGCGATGGCCTTTTACTGTCAGAGTGAGACACTCCAAATCCCTATTAGTTGTTTTTAAGAGGTTTGATGGGGGCTCCTGTCACATGGGACTGCAGAATAATGAAGTCATTCAATTCAACATTCATTCAATAACACTCAATTGTTATTCAATACAACAATAATACCTGTTGTAGTGGATTACATACACAAAACAATCTTCATAAAGTAATTGAGTATGTTGCAGTGGGTTCTGCTAACTGCAGAATAGGGACACACGGCACATGGGACATGCTAATCCTATGTTGTGCTTATTCCTTATTCCTTAGAACTTCATCTAGTGGAATAGGTACCTCCTGCTGGTTACGCATATATTTTTGGCTTACTGGGCTTGACTTGCTGATAATAACTGGGGAAGACTGGTAATACTTGCGTAGTTGGCAATGCAAGATTATTTTTTTTCCAAGTTTCCTTTTTCCTTCAAGCTGTTCAGCAACCTTATGCCTGCATGTGAAAATTCAGTAGTGTAAGTCAATCTTGAATAGAGAGCCCCATTATTAGGTATTTTTCAGATGAGAGTTAGTAGACAGCTAAAGAAAAATATTACAATGTCTTATTTTTCTCACCTTGGGCTGTATAACAGTATGGACAGGCTCACAGCCACTACAGTTCATGACAGTTTAACAGCACAGTTTCGGGATGGTGTTGTACAACCTCCTAAATTTCTTGTAGGCTGTCACAATCTTTCAGTGTACATTCATTTTCAAGGTGCCAAGAAGGCTGAGAAAATGGAATGCCTGAGCAGGCTTGTAATTGTCTCTTCTGCGGCTGGACTTTTCTCTGCAATGGTCTCAAGATTTTGTTGAGTTTTGTGGGGAGGTCTGATAGCATGAGGGGGAAACAAAGCATTTCTGCCTACAGATATCTGTGCAGAGCTTATGCTGCTGCTGAAAAGATTCAGGGAGCCTGTAGTAGGTGACTAAAAAGTTGTCTATGTGCTGAGATCAGTTAGCGTCTGCACTGTAACTGTGATGTCACCTCTTTTGGAGGTTAGTGATACAACCCTGTCCAAACCAATTCCTGAGTATAGGTTATGTACTTTCTACCATCTTAAGACTGTAAGCCCAGAATAATATCTACCTGTAATTTTGTTCTTCAATAGCTGCATGAAATCTGATTGTAGTTTATTTTCTGTAAAACTATGTACTTCAGGATGGTTTTTGTTGCTTTATATTTTCCTCTATTGCATGGTATAACCATTTTATATCCTTACAATGAAGTAGTTAGTATAATGCAAAAATCCCTTTGCTTTGTGTGTGACTGGCCACCAAATTTTGATAGGCAGAGAGGGAGAAGCAATGTGTTGAAGAGTATGGCAAAAGCAAACAAAATAACTTCCATGTAAATTGGTAAAGTAGACAATCCTGTAGAATAATACCTGTGCAGAGCCCTTTTCTTTAGGGACTGAAGGGCTCTGACAGCCTAGCTGCATTTGGAGGAGATTCCTTCCTATCACTCAAGCCCCTCTGTTTCTACCTCAGTTCTGGTGTTTTTTGCATCATGTTTTGTAAGACATTTTATTTGTAGAACAGTACTAGTTTCTAGTGAATTATGGCA